CTCAGGAGATGAGGTTGGAGATTTAGTCAACGGTAAGGACGATGACGGTGATTGTTGTAATGGTAGTTGTGGCTGTGACGTCGGAAGTTGTATTGGCGGCAACGAAGAAGGTGAAGGTGGATGTCCATTGCCTGGAGGACATGGGTATGGAGGCCCACCGCCAGCTAAAGGCTCCCCATCTGGAGGAGGTAATGGCAGTAATGGAGGATTCCCACCAGATGAAGGTGAAGGAGGATGGCCATCGGCTGGAAGAGATGATGGAGACACAGGCCCACCGCCAGCCGATGACTGCCCATCTGGAGAAGGTAATGGTGGCAACGGAACATTCCCGCCAGACGAAAGTAAAGGAGGTAAAGGTGGTAAAGGTATATGGCCATCAGTTGTAAGAGATGAAGGTCCACCGCCAGCTAGTGGCTGCCCATCTGGAGAAGGTAATGGTGGTAACGGATGATTCCCGCCGGATGAAGGTGAAGGAGGTAAAGGTGGTAAAGGTGGTAAAGGTGGTAAAGGTGGGTGGCCATAGGCAGGAGGAGATGGAGGTCCACCACAACCCATTGGCTGCCCACCTGGAGAAGGTAATGGTGGTAGCGGAAGATTCCCGCCAGACAAAGATGAAGGAGGTAAAGTTGGGTGACCATCAGCTGGAAGGGATGGAGGTCCATCGCCAGCCAGTGGCTGCGCATCTGGAGAAGGTAATGGTGGTTGTAGAGGATCCCCACCAGATGAAGGCGAAGGACTCGCAGTTGGGTGGCCATCGGATGGAGGAGGTGGAGGGTAAGGAGGATTCCTATCAGACGACGATGATGGAGAGGAAGGTAAATGGGCACCGGCTGGAAATGATGACTGAGATGGAGACCCACCGCTGGCTGAAGATGTTGGAGGAGAATATAACTCACCTTCTGGAGAAGATGATGAGTGCGGAGGATTTCCGCCAGCCGAAGGTGAAGGAAGTGAAGGTCGGGGGCCATTGGCTGGAACAAATGGAGGTACAGGCCCACTGCCTGCCAGATATGAAAACTTATATATTAATTAAAAATTTACATTTATCAAATTTAAATTGGAAATATAAAATGATAGAAAGGAGTTCATTATTATTTAAGAAGCAAACTGTAAAAAATCAAAACTTTGACGACATTGAACTTTAGTTTTGAAAAAACTCTGACCTCACCAGAGGCTTAGCTATGAGAAGGTATCTTCAAAGGATCTGCTTTGCAAAATGTTATTCACCTGTTACAACCACAAAGAAGGATTGTTAAAAAAATAAGTTTTTATCATGTAGACTGGATTACCTGAGACACTGCTTTGAGCGCTTTTCGCTTCATTGTGGAAAAGGACCGTCGCGTAGAATGCCACAAACAAAGCTCTGGTCGAACGATGCCAAAGAAATGTATGCATCCTTCTCAGATACCTGAAAGTTGATTAAGCATTGGTTTGAACAAGATATATTGCATATCTGATTGTGTAAAGAACCCTCGATATCCAGTTCCAACAAGAAAAATTCTTGCCCTCTTTATCTACATCATTAGCCTTCGAAAACATATTAGTCGGTGTCCTTACGCGATTTTGCAAACAAAGCTTATGAGCGATGCTCCGATGTTTACATCAGGAGACATCTTAGGAAAAGAAATAAAAAAAAAAAAGAGAGAAAAAGAAAGAAGGAAACTATTAAATGTTGTTCACTTTCTCGTCTCCAATACCCTGCAGATTTAGGTATCTTTTTTTCAGGTTTTCATTATGATTAAGTTGATGAATTTCGCGTACACTAAATTTATGGTGTCGGTAACTTGACATAACCGTGTCACCACTGTCATAAACACATATGTGCAAACATTGTCATTGCTTGATCAAAGATTGTTATTAAGACTCAATGTTAAAACGAAAAAGAAAAAAATTTATAGCAAAAAATTACAGTAAGTTACCAAAAGGAACAAAACCGAACCAAACAGTTAAGACTTTGATTGCAAACATCTTCTGAACCTCTTTCCGCAAACCATAATTGATGGGTCTGCATAGAAAACTCTTTATTGCATCTTACTATTGTATTACGCGTTAGTAAACAGGTGGCGATATTGAATTTACAGGGAATTTATTTTTTTTTTTCCCCAATCCTCACAAAAAAAGTTCACTTTCAAGAGACATCTGATTCCATGGCAGTTCTAACAGCGATATCATTCGTAAAAAATGACCTCGATTAAACTCCGATTGATATTACAGATGCTTCACTCCAAGGTTACAATCTGGTTGTAGCTGACAAACTTTGACAATAATTTATTCATGTGTCAAATCTCTACATCAGGATATTCGAAACTTCAGCCCAGGAAATAATCGCGGTATTAAACGCATCGGAAGTAAAACGATATTTTAGTTTGGGGAAAAAAAGAAAAGAAAATTTGTAAACACTGTTTTAAAACGTTAAAGAATCAAGCAAAGATGTCGGTTTAATTTCTGAAGACCGCGGATTTTGTAACAGTAATCAGCTGGAAAAATCATATTGACAATTTCAGACTTTTAACTGGTTCAACAATTTGAAGAAAATTAACTAATCCTTCTCCCTTCATTTGCTATCGAAGACTCTCATTAAGTTTCCAACATAGCCTTTACTTTTAATCAAGTAAAATTGCCAATTTAAGTTCTCTGGCGAGGAAATTTAAACACTTTCCGTTTAAAAATACGCCTTCCTCTTTTCATTTTACCAATTAATTAATCCTGGAAAAAATGAAAATGTATCATATGCACGGTTCCTAACCTTGACTTGTCTTTTGAGTTTAGCACCACTTGCAGTTTCGTAATCGTCAGAAATATTTACTCCTGGTCCGCTAGTTTGGCAGTAAATTGTGAATTCTACACGAGGCACAAACTCATCAAGGAAGAATCAACACAATCAATGTTCGATCTCGATTTCACAGATAGACTGAGCTTATCTAGATAAAAAGGCACATCCCCGCACGATGAGGTTTAAAACGAGATCTCATGAAATCGTCATCTGTAAGGGGTAAGGCTACTAATTGCTGCTATATTGCCTTCAGGGTTACAAATAAATTAAAATCAATTTTATTACCTCAATCAATAGGTCATAATTTGTCAGTTGTGTTTTTTCAGCCGCTCCAAGGTGAAATTTCTCTTCGAATGTGCTGATAAAAGCCAAATGTCTAAGAAATTTCTTACAACACAATGATAGGTCATTTCCTAACGAGCTCGAAACGCTTAATTGAAATGCGCAAATAAGAGTAGATTTCAAAGTTCGTTTAATTCTGCTATGTGACCTGTGGGTCATAAATAGGCCAAAATTGGACCATAATTACAATCTTCAAAACATGAAAAAATATAATTAGTATTGTGATAAAAAAAACTGCATTTTAAAATGAAAGCAATTATCCGGGTAAAAGGCTTTTCTACTAAAAGGTGCGAGAAATTCTGTTTTCCTACCGTCAAAACAGAATTTCTCGCACGTTTTAGTAATGTATTCAGGTCTAAAGAGTCACTTGTCACCTTAATCAGTTTCACCTGACACCCTCAGGTTCGTCCCAAAAACGAAATTCAAAAAAATTCGAAAAATTTTTTTTTCTACGGGAGCGAGAGCATAGCGCATAAATTCCCTATAAATCGAACTTTACTTACTCGACTATTCCGAGGAATTTGACTGAAAATTACTACCAAGAGGCTCTGCCAACGCAACCGACGTTTGGGTTTAGTATTTCAGCAACAAAATATATGGCTTTCACTGCAAAAGAGAGTTATTAACCGTAATTAGCACTTTTCAAATTTGTGTTAGAGATGGAGAGCCTTCAAATTGAGTTCATAGAAAAAAATTTAATTGATGTTCCTCTTCAGGTACGATAATAATTATTCCTGTCTTTCATAAATGTCTCCTTTTAAATTAAATGATTTAAGGGAGGTCAGATGAATACAAGCTTTAATGACGAAGTTGATTGCATCTGTTCACAGGACGGCGGGCGCAGTTCCTAAGCTCTTACACGCGCACTCTGTGGGTCGATGTTTGTGTAGCGGCACAATCCGTCGGGATTACGCATACCATCTAAACGTAACGAGAGGCACTTTTATGAGAGACCTTTAAAAACTCGTTCCGAGGGATCTCCCGATCAGTTTTAGGGTCAACGAACCCGTCATCCTGGAGAGAAGGACGAGAAAAGAGAGACTGACCGAAAGTTGAACCCTCCGTCTAACATAAAAACCAGTTTTGATCTTTTTTGGACCAACAAGATTCATTAGCGGTGAAAAAACACCCAGTTTGCAAACCTCAATCGATGTCCCGCGAAGAGATTCACAACTGCGCACGTTCGTTCCCTCCTGTCTTGCTCACCGATGAAAAATACTTCAATATTGGCAAGGGAGGCGCATGCATGCACGATCCGTACTTAGAAATTGCACTGTTTCAACAAAAAAAAAAGTCTCTTTTGGCTAGATATTTTCAGCTCCATAGCTCAACTCCTTATGTATTATTTGCAAAATTGATAGACGAGTACACTAAATAGTATACTAAATTTCTTGAGTGGAGAGGGAGAAAGGGGTCTTACGTGGAGAAAAATATTTATTCAGTGTTTTGAAAACTAACAAACTGGTTGCTGGCGCCTTAACCAGTCATTAATCGATGTGGCGATTTGTCTTTTTTGAGTCTTTCACTACATGGTTGACAAAGGTTCTGTTCTCCAGGAGATAACTATTTAGACAATAATATCTGGTTCATTTCTATAAAAACGTTTTACGACAATGTTTTACGACCTAAAATGTTGATGCGTATGCGCGTCGCTAATTCAACCTTTCTTTGAAGCCGCATTATTGGAAGAGAGTCTAAATTATATCAGGACATCTGCTTAGTTTGATGGGGAAAATGTTCTTATGTATTTCGAATGCGACTAATAAATATTCGTGAAAAAAAAGGACCAGAGGAGCGAGTCCAGATAAATGAAAATCTGGATAATCGAGGTTCGACAGTAATAGCTTATTTTACCGAGCAAACCGTTGAGAAAAATCATTCTGTGACTAGGATCAATATTAAATTTAATACAGCTTTGTAGCTGAGCACCTAGCGCAGACCATCTTACAATTACAACACACACCATACATTATCCAGTTTTTCAAACACACACGTTTAAGATCCCTTGAAGCTTCTGAACAAACAACAGCTAAGAAATCATGATTCTACTACACTGAAATCAGTTCATGCCTTCTAGAGATACAGATTTGCCTGGTGCTAACACTAAATTCAAATGGCTTTTTCCTTAAGTTCCTCCATCATAGCAGCTAGTGATAACAAGGCTGCTGGTCTTCCCACAGTGTTCCATCACTCCTTGCTAGCAATGTATTTGATCAAGTCCACAACTCTGTGACTGTAGCCGTATTCGTTGTCATACCTGATACACAAGAGAATTAGAAATTTTAGCGAAATCTGTCGCGCGAACCGAAAAAGAAAGAAAATTGAAAAATTGAGACTGAAAATTGTTGTTAGCGTGCCGGGCGGAATTTTAGGAGAGAGGTGCACCACAATTAGCCTCACTCCCAGAGTTCAGCGCGGCACACTGACGGCAGTTTTCACTGGGTTTTTTTTTTTGTTTGTTTGTTTTATGTTAAACTCGCGCGACGGACTTCGCCGAAAAGAATGGACTGCTCGTAATCTCCATCTTACTAGCTCATAAAACATAATTATTTGGGTATAATTCAGTTTTACTTGGTCATTAAAGCATAGGGTTGTTCGCAGAGTGCCTAGTTTCAGAAATCTTTTTTCTTTGAAAATTTCTTTTCTCCCTGTATTTAAACATCCCTCGATTGATTGTTTGGCTATTAGCACTGAAAAAGTAACGATGACTTTCACAGGGAGAGGGCCCAAAAAACAAAAAAAAACATTAAAAAATTGAACAAATAAATAATAATAATAATAATAATAATAATAATAATAATAATAGAGAACTTCTGTTATGAAAGAACTGACACCTTAGTAGTTAATGCTGTCGAATGCAGGTCAATGTATAAGAGAGGGTCAGATAGTAGGAATACAGAGACTTCCACGACATTCGTAAGTGTCCCTCAAGCTCCAAGGTTATCGTCATTCCCTCCAGAATTCGCGCCCAAACATTGGTGAACTCTTCAAGGATATGTGAACCACAACAAGCAAACCTAATCCTAGTGCTTGTAGCCTGAAAATCATTCATGCACTGACATTGGGAAGTAGTGGTACTCCTAGTCACTTCATGGGTCACGGAGACCGGGATAATCTCACGCTTAGTGGGTTAATAGGCTCCAGTACAGACTACACTAGGCTCAATTAATCAACTATGATCGTCTAGAATATGGAAATTCAGTGCTGGATGAGGAAAGTCACAAGATGGCCTAGCACCCATTAGTGTAACTAACCATGAGATGCCCTTTTTGAAACCCACACCGGGAATTATTTTTTAACTTGAAATGTAACAATAAGAAATAGTAGTACTATGGAACAGGGTATTTGAAGGTCTCAATTTAGACCGTGTATGTTAAAAGCTGTTTAGTAAATTTTTGGGAAGATGACAGCATTGGCAAACTTTTGGCAAACACTTCATTCAACCACTGAGAGGTTAAAAAGCAAAAAAAAAACCCACATCTTACCATGCAACAATTTTCACAAATGTTGGACTCAGTTGAATTCCAGCTTTGGCATCAAAAATGCTTGAGTGAGTGTCTCCAATAAAGTCACTGGAGACAACATCCTCCTCAGTGTATCCAAGGTATCTTGACATGACCTTATCCTCAGAAACTTGCTTCATGGCAGCTCTGATTTTATCATACTCAGTCTAAAAACAAATGAAGCTCATAGGGTGAATGGGTCTTTCCCAGGTGGAGGTGGATGGAAAATTACAATACCGTAAACTGCTTCTTAAAAGCCTTGGCTTCAACAACTTTTTCATGGGTTTTTAACCCTTTGACTCCCAGATCAAATTTGTAATTCTCCTTACTGTCAACCATACAATTCATATAATGTTAGTTCAGAGAATTTAGTGTTGGATCAACTAATTATTCCCAAATTGATATTTTTCTTTATTCTCATCGCTTATCTGGTTGATATTGTATAGATATTGTAAGGAGAAATTCTGTCTTGGTCACTCAAGGGAGTTAAAAGGTTAAGAGGGCTAATAAAAAGAAGAGGGGCTTAAAAATTTGATTTTGCACTTACAGGATTTCAATTAAAACTTTACACCCGAACATCAGTATCCATTTTCTCTATACATTTCTCTAACCATTACCTATGCCACTGACAAGGAGAGTTCACTTAACGATCAAAACTTTTTTAGCCTGGCAATCACTTCCTTTATTGTCATGATCTAATAATTGATTCAGCAGTTCTGTACATGCTGGTCACTTATGGCATTTAAAGGGTTAAGCTTCAACATGAGATAATTAATTATAGTCATTTTAATACAATAAAATCAATACATTTGGAACAAGATTAAGATTAACAGCATGATCACAAAATGGAAGTTTAGATTTTTCCTTTGGGGATTATGTTTACTCTCATACCACTAAAAATTTTCAGTCTAATTCACAGCAGAGTTCTTATCTCTAAAACCAAGAAAAGCTAGAGAGGGGAGGGAGAGGTTACAATTGGATGTATTTTTTACTTGTAGATGTGTCTACACGTGTAACCATATGGGGGGGGGGAGGGGTGGTGCTCTTATACGCAGCAGATTATAGTATTTTCTTGAATACATGCCCTATCTTTTCTTGCTCTGGCAAAATTTTAAAAACACTGGCATTTTTGCAAGCTAAAGTAAGTGAGAAAATAAGTTACTGTTAAAACAAACTTCCACACACATTAATTTTAGATTTTATGAGCTTCCAAAGCAAGTTAACAGAATCTCGCAATGAAAATAACAAAAACTAACACTAACAAACAATTCATTGAATCCACTTACTGGTGTCTTCAAGCGGCATGTGAGGTCCACCACAGACACATCAGGAACAGGTACACGGAATGCCATGCCAGTCAACTTGCCATTCAGTTCAGGTATGACTTTCCCAACAGCCTTAGCTGCTCCAGTGGAGGCTGGTATCACATTCTGATACGCTCCGCGACCATCACGCCATTTCTGCAAAGGCATAAGAATAAACTGTTAACACCTTGCACCAGTAATAAGCATCTCATTTTGCCCAACTGGATCACCCTTGGATCAAACATGGTCTTGGCAATAAAAGTATTGATCACAAACTCAAGAAACTCTTGATTGTTAGTCCAATTCTCCTTACATGTACCACAGGAAATGCGTGGGGAATGGTAGGGAGAATATGCACACTGATGCAGCACATATGCCAAACTTAGGTCACTATACTGGTGACTTAGATGCCCCAATTATTTAATCACAGCAAAGAGTGTTGTGAATATGTAAATGTTTTCTTTAAAATAGTCCAGACCATATCATGTTCTTGTTCTTGAGGTCACTGTAATTTTGACAGAAGAGGGGCATTTCTTAGGTGTGTGAGTACACCCTTGTTACAAGTGCTGTGGCACAAGTGTCTTTTCACCCACAATCAAGTATTTGAGGAATGCTCTAACCTGAAAGAGGTGTAAGCACTGTTTACAAGGGCCAGACCCCCTGCAAACCTCTCCCTTGAATCTTTCAGCAGGGAGAGAAGCATGCATCCTGCAGCGTTACTGATTAGGGCCCTACTTGTATGCTAGGTGTTTCTCAGCCGGTTGAACTCAAGACACCCCCTTGTCACAATCCTGAATTAAAAGAGATGGCATTACCTTGCCACTTGGACCATCCACAGTCTTCTGTGTGGCAGTAACAGCATGGATAGTTGTCATAAGTCCTTCTTCTATTCCAAATTTGTCATTCAACACTTTAGCCACAGGGGCAAGGCAGTTGGTGGTGCAAGATGCATTACTGTGGGATGGAAATACAAGGAAGGAAAATAATTAATTCCGGAGGCTAAATTTGCAGCTTACTGATTGAGAAAGACAAACTCACAAGAGGCAAATTGCCAAATACAATGAAAGAAGAGAAATTCACATTTAAACTCCCACAAGTGACCAAGACTGAATTTCTCCTTACAATATCAATACATTATCCAGCAGACAAGTGAAGAGAATTGGAAGAGAGTCGGTCTGATGTTGTACTTAAATACTTTATTCAGTGTTGTTTCACCCATTTTTTTAAAAATTAACCTGGGTATATCCACTTTCCAGTTGTTTACAGCTATGCTTAATCCTTTAACTCTGAGATCAAATTTGTAATTCTCCCTACTGTCAACTTTACAATTCTTATAAAGTTAGTTCAGAGAATTTAGAATTGGATCAACTAATTATCCTCACATTGATCTTATTCTTTATTCTCATCACTTATCTGGTTGATATTGTATAAATACTGTAAGGAGAAATTCTGTTTTGGTCACTCATGGGAGTTTAAGGGTTAAAAGAGGACACTTTCACAGGAGGTGCAACTTATTTGTCATTACAGTCCTTAAATCATGAAATTCGACCCCACCCCATTACTTCACAGGGTTCCATTGACTTTATTTCTTGACTCTTGCACTACTACATACCTGATGACAGTCATGCTTGGGTTATACTTGTCTTCATTGACTCCCATCACAAACATAGGGGCATCGGCTGAGGGTGCAGAGATGATTACCCTCTTGGCACCACCCTTAAGGTGTGCACTAGCCTTATCTACAGTGGTGAAAACACCAGTTGACTCAACCACATATTCAGCACCATTATCACCCCATGGGATTTCACCTGGACTTCTCTCGGCAAACACAGAGATTGGATTTCCATTGATTATCAGTTTACCATCCTTGGCCTCTACTGTTCCCTTAAATCTACCATGGGTTGAGTCAAACTTGAACATGTAAACCTTAACAATAAAAAAAATCGCAAGCCAAATAGTAAACCATCTATACGAGCAATTCAGTTTTATCAACTGAGTTGAAAACGTAAATTGGCCATGGTAAAGAGTTTAAAGGCTAACATTTCACATGTTAGCCCATTGTCTATCACTCTAACAAAGGGCTAATGCTCAAAATTTAAGCCTATAACTTTTTACGGTGACCAATTTACCTTTTTAACTCAGTTGATAACCCTAAATTACCCTGTTATACTCTCCCACTGACACAGCACCAAAGTTTCTTTAGAAACTTACCCTATATTCATCTACACCAGCACTTTCTTTTAAAATAATTTTGAGAATAGTGCTTTTGTTGATAGACAAAAAAAAAGCAAACCAATGAGGTGCACCTTTCTTTTTTTCACATCTGAACAAAAATTCTGTGATAGGGTGAATTTTGACCAAGTGTCCTAAAGTCCTAATGTCCTTAAGTTACAACCAAAGAATTAAAAAAAGCCAATCAGGGCACTAGTTTCCCAGAGAAAACTAGTCTTTACAAATTGTAGACAAAAATACTCTCTGAGCTGTGATTACAAAACCAAATGGCGATTGGTTTTACATTTGAATTTGATTGGTTGAGAAAGTAGTGCCAGATTCTTGGACCAATAAGAAGTCAAAGGAGCACAAAAGCACAGCAACACCAGAGTACTTTTGACGCTTGCAAAAAAAAGATTTCCCGAAATTTGCAACCAAACTCCGTGAATCAATATCACAAGCTTGATTTCTCAAACAATTTAGTTCCTAAAAGAAATATAACAACAAAATAAATGACTTCACAATAAGATCGCAAAAATTGGTGCAGATGTCACTTTCACCACATTGACATTGTTTCGCGTGAAAATGAACGACTAATATGTAAAGGCATTCAGTTCTATCATTCTGTATAACAAACAAACAATATCAAAGTTTGTCGTTTTGTCCAAAAGGCTGATCAAAACTGTCCATGAGCAAATCTCATCTGGCGATCGCGCGACAGACGACATTGAATTACATTGCAGACCAAACTAGAAAGAAGAAAAATGACGACTTCTACGAAGAATAAAAGGTTAAGGTTTCAGAATATCTTTCTTGTGAGCTGGCCGATCTCAACTAAACGCCGCTCAACTATAGAAATTTAACCACAAGATCTGCATAAATTTTTAAAACAGACTTGCTTATTTCATTGTAAGTTCAACTGAAGTTCTCTCGAACTAAACGAGCTGCTTTAAGATCATCTTGCGAACCAAAGATGCAACAGAGAGCTGATAAGACTAAAGCAATGACGGAATCTGTATGACATTAAAAAGAAGAAAAAATTTTTGATTACGTCACATAACATGTTAGATTGCTGCAATGATATTGGAGTTCTTATTGCAGATGGCCTGACTTACCATGTAATCGAGGTCGATAAAAGGATCGTTCACAGCGACAACTTGGACTGCACCCTCTGACAGCGAGGCGCGCATAACAAGTCGTCCTATGCGACCAAATCTGCAAGAAAAAAGCAAGGAGGCGATTTAAGCCATTGAAAACAAGCTGACATTGCCTCAAGAAGAAGAAGGAGCACTCAGTTCTAACTCACCCATTTATCCCGATCTTGACCACCATTGCGAGTTAGTATTTTCCCTGAAATTAAAAATAAACATTCTCTGATCAGGTAAAGGAAAGGTTGACCTTGAACAAAACGGTACCGATTCGGAAGGATTTGTAATAAAAAAAAGAATTATTAGCCCAATAACTTACCTCCTAAGGCTAACAGACTTATGCTGCCACGTTCACTGATAGAATGGAACGATTTGGAACCGGCGTTGCACATCGAACTTCAAGTGAAGCTGGTGCTAGCATTTGATTGGTTGAGACGAAGTCAGCTGACCAGGATCGTGAAGCCCTGCACGGAAAAATCACCTGATTGTTGATTGTTGTACTTTTTGTTCAAACAAAGTGAATTCAACGTCACAGATTCCTCGCGCGACGACTTGAGGCGAGATGAGCATGTGTCTCGAGCGTGGTTGCTCATTGCGAAGCACTGGCCGGGTGCGACTGTTTCTTTGGACTGTATGTGAACAGGGCTCGACCACGTCAAAGTTCTCCGCCAAATATGCACGACGGCTAAGGAAACAGGCATGCTATACGGAGAACGCATGGTAACGAAAATAAAAAGAGGGATCTTAATGTAACAGTCCATCAGAGGCAGCTGAAATAAGATTTACTTTAATTCTCATTACCTTTTTGCTGGATAATGTAAAAATAATATAGGGAGAAACTAAATGTTAATCACTTGAAGGAGGTAAGGGTTAAAACTCTTTGGGCCAGTTATTAAAACAAAGTTTAGTTAATGTTAAGCAAAAACGCATTCTAAACTATCTTAAATTTAGCTGCATAATATGCAGCTAAATTTAAGAAATTCAATATATTATCTGCATATTAATTTTTGTGAAAAGCATAAAGGAGGCCGAAAGTTAACTCATAGAAAGACAATTATTTAATGAAAACAACCCTCTTAAAGAGAATATGCAAGGCCCTCTGCTTGCATAAAACCCACAGTTTGAGTTGGACCTCATGTGAATAACAGGCCCTTTAAGTCCAGAAAATGGACAAAATTTGTTATTTGGAAATAATAATAAAAACAACTTGGTATAGTGACACATTTTGGAAGAATACAAGCCACAGAAAGCCCCTTCCTCTATAAAAAGTAATGCCAACAACTGTGTTGTGTTCAGTAATGTGGTCTGGAGTGTTTTCTGGTTTGAGATTGTTCAGTGAACAGAGAATTAAACTCTACACCCTAACATCAGTATGCATATTCTCCATACTGTCCTTTGTACATATCTTACTGTTCTGACAAAAAGAATTTGTTTAACAATAAAGAATTTCTCTGGTTGGTGATCATTTCCTGTATTCCTGTGACCTTACTGTGTGATTGAGGGGGGATTTCATTGGGAGAATTTAGTTGCAAGTCACTCTACAGCAGAGATTGCAACTATGGAAGTAAATGCTTTACAGTCATTTTCTACAATCATTGTGAACATCATAACTTTACCCATTCATTTTCCCACTTCTTCTAAAAGTCTACCATCCATTTATCATAATTTCAGCTTTGGTGATTTGGTGTCAAGGCACATAATCTGTATTTTCTATAAGATCTTTTTCTTTCTACTCATCACGTGGTTCACAATGTACATTAGTAATGCAAAATCATTTATTTTTTCTCCTTAACAAAGGAAATATTTACAATAAAATGTACAAACACTGTTAGCTTTTTATGTCAACTGAAAACAGATACAATGTAAGGTGACTAAAACTTGAGAGTGAATCCAGCAACTGCTGCAGATCCCTTCTGGGAAGTTGGCATGCGGAATCCCAAGCTACCACTACCACTGTCACCCTCATCTGCCTAAATGAACAAATAAACAAAAAGATAAATTTATAATAAATAAAAGATAATAATAAAATTATTCATTAAAATACTGAATCAGAACCACAACAAAGATAGATAAAATACAGCTAATATAGTAAGTTACTAAACAAGAAAAAATTATAGAAAATGATGAGTCAGTCGATTAGTCAATGAATCACACAATCAGGCAGTAGATCAATCACACAATCAGGCAGTAGATCAATCAATCAGTCAGCAAATCAGATGATCAGTCCTGAAGTCCATCAGCCAGTGAAGAGACAGTCCATCAGTCAGTAAGACAAGAGTCAGTTAATCAATACATCAATCAATCATTCAGTCAAAAGGCAGTCACTTAGTCAGTCATTCAGACAGTAGTTTAGTCAGCCAGTCAGTCAGTGAGTCAGTCAGACAGTCAATCAAAAAGTCAGTCCATCAGACAGTCATTTAATCAGTGAGTCACTGAATCAGCCAGTTAAATAGACTAAAAGCCACTTCGTCAATCACTCCATCAGTCAGTTTTTCAGTAAATAAATCTATCGATTACTGTCAGCTCTCTTTCAATAACTCAACTTATCCCAGCTATCACTTAGTCAACCAGTCCTTCAAACCAACACATCACAAATCTGTGCCTTGTTTCATAGAAAATGACAAATTCCTTACTAAGAAACTGAACCGTCTACTACTATTGCAGCAAGAAAGAATCAATAAACTCTGGTACTCACCAGCTTGGCAAACATAGCCCCTCCCTCAGGGGCTTTGGGACTGTGTTCTACATCTTTTCTCTTGGGCCTTTTTGCCATTTCACTCTTAGCTGGCCATGTTGGAAACATGGAGGGGTCCACAGGTTGAGGAGATTCCTAAAGGAAGTGGAAAGGAAAAAATCCTTGCTGTCAGAAGAAGGCAAGAATCAAAAGCTTTTGGTAAGTTACCAGAGAGAGCATACACAGCCCTGCCACAAAGTAAAAGGACTTCGTAGACTTTCCGTGATTCTGAGGATATTCATATTTTTGGTTTTGGGGCAGAGTACTTCTCCCTCGTGAGTCACAACCAAAAAGGAATCACCTTTGTTTTCTTAGATCTCAAACAACGGACCTTTTTCCTTTGCTCATATTTTCATAAATATTGTTCTCTTTCCTTGTTTAGTTCAATTACCTGTAATTATGGTTAAAGTAACAGCAGAAACTGATACACTTTATATGCTATCTCCTAAAACGTAATCTATATCATGAGATAAGTATGCACTTACGGAGAAATATGCATGCTTCAAAGCATCCTCAGCTGTAATTCTTTTCTTTTTGCCTGGATCATATGTCAAGAACCTTGAAAAAGATTGAAAGTTTTCCTTTAAATACATGTAACATGACAACAAATTCTCTCAACAAATTAACAAGGAAATGAATAGCAGCCACAAAGGAAAATTTGAAGTGGATGTTAGGAGTTGAAGCTTCACCTGTTTAACAAATCAAAGCCTTTGTCTGTGAGGTAAGCTCCAAACCTGTTTCTCAAATTGTTGTAAGGATAGTCGGTGAAGGTCATCTAAAAGTAAAAACATTTGAATACATTCAATAACAGACTAAATAAATGAGTTATAAGAACTTTCTTTTGTACAAGTTTGGAAAATTCAGAATGAGACTTTTTATAACATCGAAGTGGCTCTAAGAAAAACTGTACTTGTCCATGAAAAAAGACAGACCAAAGAGTAATTAAAACTAATGCTGCTTTTTAGTGGAAAGCAATCACCAAAAATGGTTACTGGAAAACCCAAAATTGAAGTGAAGTAGCCATATAAAAGTTAAAATAAAAACCAAACAAAAAACAAAGTTGCCTGGTAATTGTTTTTGGAGAAAGGAGAAATTTTCATAAAAGAAAAACAAATGGAGCTTAAAATAATGTTATTTTTAAGCATTAAATTTTTATGTCAGTCTACCTTTGGACCATCAATAAGGGAAGCTTGTCACATGACCACAGAGTACTGAGGTTACCAACTGAGAGACATATGCTTCAAATGTAGTTACCAATTAAACAAAAATTTTTCGTTATTCAAAAGAGTTACAACTTGGAGTTTAAGTGATCAGGTGAAAATATAATAACTGTTATTAGTAATAAATGTACCTTCTGTACTGCTGGAAGCTCTGAATACGATGGAGGACCTGGCCAAATTTTGTCACTTGGTGTGCCAAGCTCCTAAGAAGGAAACAAAATTATCAAACACTCATGTTTAATCAATCTTGAAAAGAGCAACTAATGATCATAATAATGTTGTCTTACTTTAAATATTCTGTTGATCTGGTCTATCTCAGATTTGCCAGGAAACAATGGCTTCATGGTCAATAACTCTGCAAATATACAACCAACAGACCAAAGATCTATGGGGGTGGAGTACTCCTTAAAAACAAAACCACAAAGACCAAAATTAATGTTATTTGATATTTTTCTCATTAATAAATGAACTACAATAGAACAAAAAGTAAAATATTTTGAGATACATGTTTGTATCCAAGTTCTTTTCACTACTAGGTACATTTTTGTTTCCTAAACCACAAGAGAGAATCCAAAACTTTGTGCAACATTGGGCAATGCACTATTCTCCTGACCACACCTTGGCTGTGAAATAAGCATTGTGGCTAACTCTGTTTTGGAGGTTGATGTGACATCTGCATGTACAAGCATAATGTACTCCAACAATAAAGAAGAAAAGGGCAAATCTTTATGAAGCAGAGTTATAAAGCAATCTTTATTTTATGCAACTTTTGTTTATCTCACTTTAACATCAGACCACCAAAACTACATAATTTTGTAAGTCTTTAAAATGTTGCAGCCTGCTGCCAAAGATAAGTCACCAAATAAGCAAACTTCACTGCAAACTTAGTTACCAAAATCTTTTTCAACTTTCCAGAGCAACAAAAACACTTGCAGCTTGAAGCACTGTACTACCATGAAGATAGCTGTGAAGTTGAATATCAAGAAGAGAAAAGAGTACCTTGGTGCCCAACAAGAGTTCAGGGGCTCTGTACCACAGAGTCACCACAACAGGAGTGTAGTTTTTCAGTGGAGAACCATACTCCCTTGCAAGTCCAAAATCACCAACCTAGAGAGAATTGATACAAACGCCACAGTGGATATGAAGGTGCACTACAATAAATGCTCAGATTTACCAGCTCATCAACAAACTACTGCATCATGCAGTACTTAAGTATATGAATGCTATTAATTTCATACATGTATGCCATTTTAAACATTTTTTACTGCAGTTTCCCTTAAAACTATTTCTTTGGTTTTGCATTCTTTAATGTTAACAAACCT